CTGTTTCTTGAAGCACGGTGCTGCAGCAATGGCGGCCTCTTAATTGACAGACTTTCTGAAGAGCTGTCCCGTCTGAGAACCTCATGAGAGCCATATCGACGCAGCCCTCCAAGCGTACTACCGCCAGCTTGGGGAGGCACTCCAAGAAATTGTTGCCCGGGCTGGCTTAGCTGGCTCCCTCGTGTGTTTTGCTGCGGAGCAGTGGGCTGAATAAACTCCCGCTGCGTCGAACTAGACCGCGTCCTAGAACGGCGTACGTCAACTCTGTTAACGCACGAGTCTGAACCCACAGATTTTTTACTTCCGCTATGAAGGTAAGAGCGAACGTGCGCCCAAAGATGGTTAATTTCATCATCTGTGGGTGTTTTCTCCAAAGATATAGACCTATTAAGGTCGCTGGCCTCCCTTCCATACAAATTAACGTCTCCTGCCTGTACGGGCTGTTCGCGGTCTTGCCGTGTAATGGGATGAGCAACACTTGATGTTGGGTAATCGTGTCTCCCTTCCTGGTAGATCTGCCGTTGACTTAAAACTGGAGCAGGTCTTTGAATTATTCCTTCGAAACCATCTTCAGGAACTGTTTGCACAGCTATTGCTTCAGTTCCTACTGGTCTTCCACTCCTAGAATATCCATCGAAACCGGAGTGGTAGTTGTCATTGACAAAATCCATCCTGACGCCTTTACCCACAGGAGGTCTTCCTTCTCTTGATGAAACTGAATGGTAGTAACCGGCACTGGCAGAATCGAGCCTGGTGTTAGGGCCAGAGGGAGGTCTGCTACCTCGGAAGCCAGTTGGTTGATAATGTGCACCATTAGTAGCATCCACTCTCATGTTGCTGCCTGCAGGTCTCTCTCCTTGAGACCCACTTAGTTTATAGCTGCTTTCACCGGAATCCATTCTGGTAGTTCCACCTGCAGAGGGTCTGCCTGAACGAGACCCCGCTGAACCCACACGGGGATGGTGGACTCGTCGAGTGGTGCCATCGTGTTTTACAACAATTTTCTCGACCACGCCGTTATTCTCTCCGTAAGGCGCTCCATGAACAGGATATGCCTGCGGGGACGACTTGTCGTGCTTCTCGTCACCAAAGTCCAACCTCAGAGAATCCAAAATCCTCCGATGTTGCTCCTCGGCCGCTGTTGTTCTTGCTCTCATGTTCATCATCTCCATGTTGCGCTTTATTCCTTCAATAATACCATCATGATCAGGACTCTCACTTTCACTGCTGTTTGATCGCTTCGGTTGAGTCCTCCCACTCTTGCCTTTCCCTGATCTTGGTGAAGGTGAGTTGCGCCTTCCGACACCATGTTCCGTCTGGTTAATGCCATTGTTATTAGTAAGCACTCTTTTAGATTTCACTCCTTGTCCACCACCTGCTGCCACAGGGGAGCTGTTGACTGCCGCCTTCCGTGGACGAGCAGTGATTTGTTTTCTGTAGTGACCACCTGGATACACGCGACCTCTGCCAGATTTTTTCGTGGCTGGAGGTCTTGGAATGAACGACCTTGGAGACCGACGTCCTGATGAGAGTGTCATGGGGTCGCCAAAACAACAGAATACAAATCTGAGCCCAAAAAGTGTGTCCGCTTTTGATTTATTCACATTCTTTCGTACGGATTTAATCCAATCAGAAGCCAGTTGGAAACTGTCCTCGACTTCTCATTGGTTAATGTCTGCATGAAAGAATGTGAGTTGATTAAAGGAGGTCACTCTTTTGGGTTCCTTACTGTAAAATCAACAATACCTCTGAGCCTTTCGTTCAAACGATCCAAAGACTGCAGTAACCTCTGCTCCTCCAGTGAGAGAGCACTGGGACCTTACAATAAAAGCAAAACAAGACTAAGAAAATTGTTCACTGGCGCAATACTTACTACATCTCTGCAAGGCTGCGGGAACTGCGGGAATAGGCCTGTTCCGAGTTCCAAACACTCTCACTTTGAAAGCGAGGCTAAGTAAAACCTTTCTTATGAGAATGAGTTTTATTTGCATGAGAATAGAAAATCGTTTCTATAACTGATCAATAGCTTCGAACTTAGCCTTGCTTTGAAACAGAGGTTTGGGACAACTAGAAACTGGCCTAAATTTGGGCGGAGATGGTTCTGGCTGAAGCAAAGCTATCGACAAACGGTAAACGGATTATAAAGTAACACAACAGAGATCAGGTACTTATTAGATTACATCACACCACAGGTGACAGAGATTATGGAGGCTACTGTGAGATAAGGTATAGCTAAGCAGTGAAAAATGGTGGGCTTACTAACCTGCCCTGCTGCTCGGCGCACCTTGGAACTGTTGATAAGACGGCATCTCAGCAAACTCCGCTTGTTGGTGTCTGTGAAGCATTTCTTTCTCAGAGGCTATCATCACGGCTTGCATTTCAGCTGGCGACAATGGCTGTGGGCCTCCAACTATAACAAACAAAGCGTTTCACACGCATGTTGATGAAAATCTTGCGGCAATGAACTATATCGCGTGCATGCCATGAGACGCTCTCTTGATTACTTGGGTAAAAATTGCTTAATTGCTATTCAAGTTACCACACATTCTTGGCCACTAGTCAAAAGCTATACTGCTAGCTGTCACAAAATGGTACAACAGTGGGTGGTACGTTGTACGAAAATTGAATTAAGTTACCTCTAGTAGATACTGACGCACTGGGTCCAGCCTGACTCGGTAACGGCTTATGCTCGTTCTGTCTCGGTAATGGCGGTCTGCCATTTTGACCCTGGAATCGCCTGTTTCTTGAAGCACGGTGCTGCAGCAATGGCGGCCTCTTAATTGACAGACTTTCTGAAGAGCTGTCCCGTCTGAGAACCTCATGAGAGCCATATCGACGCAGCCCTCCAAGCGTACTACCGCCAGCTTGGGGAGGCAGTCCAAGAAATTGTTGCCCAGGCTGGCTTACCTGGCTCCCTCGTGTGTTTTGCTGCGGGGCAGTGGGCTGAACAAACTCCCGCTGCGTTGAACTAGACCGCGTCCTAGAACGGCGTACGTCAACTCTGTTAACGCACGAGTCTGAACCCACAGATTTTTTACTTCCGCTATGAAGGTAAGAGCGAACGTGCGCCCAAAGATGGTTAATTTCATCATCTGTGGGTGTTTTCTCCAAAGATATAGACCTATTAAGGTCGCTGGCCTCCCTTCCATACAAATTAACGTCTCCTGCCTGTACGGGCTGTTCGCGGTCTTGCCGTGTAATGGGATGAGCAACACTTGATGTTGGGTAATCGTGTCTCCCTTCCTGGTAGATCTGCCGTTGACTTAAAACTGGAGCAGGTCTTTGAATTATTCCTTCGAAACCATCTTCAGGAACTGTTTGCACAGCTATTGCTTCAGTTCCTACTGGTCTTCCACTCCTAGAATATCCATCGAAACCGGAGTGGTAGTTGTCATTGACAAAATCCATCCTGACGCCTTTACCCACAGGAGGTCTTCCTTCTCTTGATGAAACTGAATGGTAGTAACCGGCACTGGCAGAATCGAGCCTGGTGTTAGGGCCAGAGGGAGGTCTGCTACCTCGGAAGCCAGTTGGTTGATAATGTGCACCATTAGTAGCATCCACTCTCATGTTGCTGCCTGCAGGTCTCTCTCCTTGAGACCCACTTAGTTTATAGCTGCTTTCACCGGAATCCATTCTGGTAGTTCCACCTGCAGAGGGTCTGCCTGAACGAGACCCCGCTGAACCCACACGGGGATGGTGGACTCGTCGAGTGGTGCCATCGTGTTTTACAACAATTTTCTCGACCACGCCGTTATTCTCTCCGTAAGGCGCTCCATGAACAGGATATGCCTGCGGGGACGACTTGTCGTGCTTCTCGTCACCAAAGTCCAACCTCAGAGAATCCAAAATCCTCCGATGTTGCTCCTCGGCCGCTGTTGTTCTTGCTCTCATGTTCATCATCTCCATGTTGCGCTTTATTCCTTCAATAATACCATCATGATCAGGACTCTCACTTTCACTGCTGTTTGATCGCTTCGGTTGAGTCCTCCCACTCTTGCCTTTCCCTGATCTTGGTGAAGGTGAGTTGCGCCTTCCGACACCATGTTCCGTCTGGTTAACGCCGTTGTTATTAGTAAGCATTCTCTTAGATTTCACTGCTTGTCCACCACCTGCTGTCACAGGGGAGCTGTTGACTGCCGCCTTCCGTGGACGAGCAGTGATTTGTTTTCTGTAGTGACCACCTGGATACACGCGACCTCTGCCAGATTTTTTCGTGGCTGGAGGTCTTGGAATGAACGACCTTGGAGACCGACGTCCTGATGAGAAGGTTGATGCAGTCGATGAAGGTGACGACGAATGCTTTTTTCTAGAAGTAACAGCGCTACTCCTTTCAGTTTGTACTTCAACAGCCGATGTTCCTGTTGTTTTCACTCCTGTAGCACCTGCTGGGTCAGTGTTAACTCTGTTTGCAGCATGCCCGATAGAAGAGGATGAGGCTAGGACATGATTGTTCTGGGACGTGACTGACTGCACGACCTCTCTACCCACAACACGATAATCTGTTGCAGCAAGCTGCGAAGCATACGGAATGGGTGTGCTCTCCAAACTCACGTGCTCTTGCCTTGCTGGGCTCATTCCCATTAATCCAGCACTGGTGGAGAAAGTATAAGGGAAGTTCTGATGCAATGTTCCCTGGGACTGCACACCGCTGAATGCATTTGCATTTTGTTGATAAGCGTACGGAGAAGTGAACACAGCAGGGGCTGGACTGGAGTTAACAGGTCGATAATGTTGGTATGAAGATAAGACTGGAGATGGATGTGACACGTATCCTGAATTGAGATAACCAGATCCCTTGCCCTCTAGAGGTTTAGAAACAAAACCTTTCACCGTCTCCTCTCTGGAGCCAACGACAGCCACTCCAGCCGTATCACTGGTGAGATGAGGGGGTAAACTTCTATTGTACTCTTCTGATGGATTAGGAGCAAAGCCATTATCCCTCTCGTTACCTCGACCATCATTACATGAAGCTTCATCAGTAAGTTCTTCCGCAGTGCTTTCCGCGGTACTTTTCACGTATCTTTCAAGAGAGTCTCTCAATGATGATCTGCCTATAGTCCAGGTCACCGCACTCTCATTACTACATTCCTCGTCGTCTTGCCGTGCCACAGAAGAGCTCTCCTTCTCATCCAAGCTGTCTCTGATGATCTCTAGGCTGTCATTGAGCGACTGACCACTAACAAAATTAGCTTCATCCACAGGTTTGTCCGTGTCTTTACTGTAAGTCTCTTGCCCTGATGGTATTCCTTTTGCAACATTCTCCTGCCTTAAAGAAAACTGTGTCGTCTCAGGTTTGGCTAGGCGATGACTCACAACAGCAACAGGTTTAGCTTTTGGCTGATCACTGTGTACAACAGTCACTACTGATGGCTCCCTATCGACAGACTTCACCGCACTAAATGCTGCGCTGGTATCATTTTTCTCCGTCAGCGTTTGTTCCACTGATGTCACCGCAGCATTTTTAGTTCCCTTCTGGCTTGCTACGGATTTTGCTGACGTTGAAGCAGAACTCGTGGATGGCGGCATGCTATAATAGTTATTAACATTTCGAGCGTACAACATTGTATAAACCTTTGTACTTTGCTTTTCCTCGGTGACAAGCTGCCCTGTTAAGCCATCATCAAACTCGATGCTGTCAGAAAATGTGACCCTTCTCTTTCCAGCAAACTTGGATACATCTTTACTTCCTTTTGATATGATTCCAGCCCTGCTAATGGCACCTGACTCTTGGCCTTTGTTAAGAACCTCATCAAGGCTATCTAAGCTAGTGACGCTCCCTCCAGGAGAGTCCCTTCCCATGATACATGGTAAAGCTCCTTCAGGAGGTTCCTTTTGTGACTCGTCGTTAATAAACGCGAGCTTTGGTCCACCCTTTGCAATGGCATCTGCTCGCAACCTCTCTTGCTCTTCTACTGTCAGCGTATCGCTTACAGAGCCATTCTCTGTCAATCCACCCATTTTTCCCTCTGCTTCAAGGCCCAGTCGGTTCCCAGGTGGACCATATGGGTCAAAACCTGGCTGTGAAGAATATAGCTTTCCTTCGTTTCCCAAACTATTCATTGCATACAAAATTCCACCGTTAGTAACACCATTGAAATGTTCGTTAAGTCTTGACGGAAATTCGTACTTTGGTAGCATTTCACTTCTCCAAGACTGTAGTTCTACTCCACCCTGCTGTTGCCTAAGTTGGGTGTCCTGTAATGTGGCACGTGCCACCTGCTTCCCATCTCTCACTTCCACCACGTGACCTCTCACTACATAGCGGCCATCTCGCACAGCAACTGGCTCTGAAAAAATAAAACATCAGTTTCAGCTTAATTATTCATCTATGGCTTACAAGGACCTGTTAAAAGAGCCACTTTTATAATTATATGGGCTGTAAGAATTTGGCCATAATGGTGGGATGGCCATATATCATGAAAATGATGACTCAGCAGATCAAAATACTTAAGACTGTCTTTCTTAGGTGAAGATTTGCATGTAATAAATGCAAATCTTTCTCTAAGAATGACAGTCTTAAGTATACAGTGTTCAATCTAGAAATTAGTCAAAGTGGGTCACATGTCCCACGCGGCATTTTTAATTGGCTCATTTTAAAAATGATCTGGGTCAAACTACGATATTGAAACTGAACAACTTTACTGATATCATCCAAACTATCACCAGAAATAGAAAGAAACAAAAAGTCAACATAATGTATGTGCGGCAACTTTTCTGGTTTGTCCTATTCTTGATTTCGAAATTTCCCACAATACACTCTTTTTGCTTCCCTCAACTAATGTTATTAAATGCTCCTGCAAGGGCTGCATTTGAAAACAATAACTTATGCAAAATTTCAAATCATTCTCAGTGTAAAAAGCACGGTTGATGTAAAACAAAGGAAGCAAAGAGGTAAACAAAATGAAACCAAGGGAAACTTCTGATACAAAACAAGGAAAAAGTTCTAAAACCGAGGTACATGTAAAAAACAAATCTGGGGCATAACAGGATGTATTATAGGGGATTTAAAAACAGTCAATTAAGTCAATGACCTGGTATCTCCCTACTAAGAAAAAAAATCATTTCTAGGTCTAACATGGTTATTTCCTTTATAATGCCATGACATGTCACCNGTAGCATTTCACTTCTCCAAGACTGTAGTTCTACTCCACCCTGCTGTTGCCTAAGTTGGGTGTCCTGTAATGTGGCACGTGCCACCTGCTTCCCATCTCTCACTTCCACCACGTGACCTCTCACTACATAGCGGCCATCTCGCACAGCAACTGGCTCTGAAAAAATAGAACATCAGTTTCAGCTTAATTATTCATCTATGGCTTACAAGGACCTGTTAGAAGAGCCACTTATATAATTATATGGGCTAAAAGAATTTCGCCATATTGGTGGGGTGGCCATATATCATGAAAATGATGACTCAGCAGATCAAAATACTAAAGATTGTCTTTCTTAGGTGAAGATTTGCATGTAATAAATGCAAATCTTTCCCTACGAATGACAGTCTTAAGTATACAGTGTTCAATCTAGAAATTAGTCAAAGTGGGTCACATGTCCCACGTGGCATTTTTAATTGGCTCATTTTAAAAATGATCTGTGTCAAACTACGATATTGAAGCTGAACAACTTTACTGATAACATCAAACTATCACCAGAAATAGAAAGAAACAAAAAGTCAACATAATGTATGTGCGGCAACTTTTCTGGTTTATTCTCGATTTCGAAATTTCCCACAATAAGCTCTTTTTGCTTCCCTCAACTAATGTCATTAAATGCTCCTGCAAGGGCTGCATTTGAAAACAATAACTTATGCAAAATTTCAAATCATTCTCAGTGTAAAAAGCACGGTTGATGTAAAACAAAGGAAGCAAAGAGGTAAACAAAATGAAACCAAGGGAAACTTCTGATACAAAACAAGGAAAAAGTTCTAAAACCGAGGTACATGTAAAAAACAAATCTGGGGCATAACAGGATGTATTATAGGGGATTTAAAAACAGTCAATTAAGTCAATGACCTGGTATCTCCCTACTAAGAAAAAAAATCATTTCTAGGTCTAACATGGTTATTTCCTTTATAATGCCATGACATGTCACCGACTCTTCAGTATATTTATATTTGTCACTCTACTTTCAGTGTTAATCATGTATTCATATTTGTTTGAGTGGTCTTACGAGGTAGACAAGTCTGACATCAGGACGCCAGACTAGCAATCCGATGGTTCTGGGTTAGAATCCCCCTCTGGCCATCTGCTGGATTTGTTTTCAGTTGTCCCGAGTAGAAACCTCTGTCACTCTTGTAAATACAGCCAACTTATTGCCTTCTGCCAGTTGACGTTTTTATTCCTGTTACATTATATCTGAATTATTTTTTCTAATTATTGCTGGGGAATGAAGTGCCTGTAAACTAGCTGAATAAGCTATGTGCACATTCCACTATCAACAAACCTATATTGTTTTTTGTGATTTCACAATATAGCTGTTTGTCTAAATTATTGAAGTGAATGCATTACAGTGTGTTCAATTAAAATAGTAAGGGCATTCTTGTGAAGAATTATAAATGAAGTTTGCCAGTACATGTCAAAGTGGCAGTGTAAGTGAGGAAAATTGTAAATGAGTCATATTGAAGAACCTGATGGCCCAGGGAAGGGAATCCAGATTCTGGAAGACGGGAAATTCTTGCTAGTGGAATTCAGAGTCCTGGGATTTAAAATCCGGAATAAAGCTCAAGGAATCCGGAATCCCACTAGCCATTGGAATCCAGAATTCAAGTTCCACTGACAAAGACTGGAATCCAGTAATTAAATGCTCCTGCAAGGGCTGCATTTGAAAACAATAACTTATGCAAAATTTCAAATCATTCTCAGTGTAAAAAGCACGGTTGATGTAAAACAAAGGAAGCAAAGAGGTAAACAAAATGAAACAAAGGGAAACTTCGAAGAAGAAAAAGTTCTAAAACTGAGATACATGTAAAAAACAAATCTGGGGCATAACAGGATGTATTATAGGGGATTTAAAAACAGTCAATTAAGTCAATGACCTGGTATCTCCCTACTAGGAAAAAAAATCATTTCTAGGTCTAACATGGTTATTTCCTTTATAATGCCATGACATGTCACCAACTCTTAAGTATATTTATATTTGTCACTCTACTTTCAGTGTTAATCATGTATTCACATTTGTTTGAGTGGTCTTATGAGGTAGACAAGTCTGACATCAGGACGCCAGACTAGCAATCCGATGGTTCTGGGTTAGAATCCCCCTCTGGCCATCTGCTGGATTTGTTTTCAGTTGTCCCGAGTACAAACCTCTGTCACTCTTGTAAATACAGCCAACTTATTGCCTTCTGCCAGTTGACGTTTTTATTCCAGTTACATTATATCTGAATTATTTTTTCTAATTATTGCTGAGGAATGAAGTGCCCGTAAACTAGCTGAATAAGCTATGTGCACTTTCCACTATCAACAAACCTATATTGTTTTTTGTGATTTCACAATATAGCTGTTTGTCTAAATCACTGAAGTGAATGCATTACAGTGTGTTCAATTAAAATAGTAAGGGCATTCTTGTGAAGAATTATAAATGAAGTTTGCCAGTACATGCCAAAGTGGCAGTGTAAGTGAGGAAAATTGTAAATGAGTCATATTGAAGAACCTGATGGCCCAGGGAAGGGAATCCGGATTCTGGAACACGGGAAATTCTTGCTAGTGGAATTCAGAGTCCTGGGATTTAAAATCCGGAATAAAGCTCAAGGAATCCGGAATCCCACTAGCCATTGGAATCCAGAATTCAAGTTCCACTGACAAAGACTGGAATCCAGTACCTAGAATCCGGAATCCAAGACAGTCTTGGATTCCTGGTCCAAATGGCTGTCGCCAACATTTCATAAAGAAAATAAGGGGAAGAAGAAAAAATAAAAATTAATGAATTGTACCTTTATCTGATCCATCTGTAGTGTTTTGTGTAGGTTTTTTCTTTTGCAAGGTGTCCTTCTGGAATCGCTGTGTCGCCTCTTGCTGTTCCTGTTTTCTCTTAGCTAATAGCTCTTCTCTTGTCTTTTCTTCATTTTCTTGTTGTTCTTTTTTTCTTTCTTCAAGGGCTCTACCATAAGGGAAAAAATTTGATACAATCATCATCATCATCATCATCATCATCATCATCATCATCATCATCAGTCAACCGAAGAGCAGTTGATTTTAAGTAGTCTCAACTGGCTCGGTCTTGGGAAGTGAGCACAATGTGATCCTCTGATAAATGCTTTTTGGCGTCGATCCATTGACTGGAAAAGGATTGCTTGTTTATTGTTTGAATACATCCTAACTTTTTAGCTATGCAATCATCACATATAAGAGGCATGCACTATAAAGGTGCTTATCACTCTCTTATACTGAAAAACTGGCAGTGCATTTGTTTACACAAAAAATATATTTCCAAACAATCAATAGTGAGGACTGTGATAAAAGTCAGTGAGTGTGTGAAGGCTTTAAGCATAATGACAGTCTCTTCACCTTTTTTTAACCTAAGCCAAATCAATAATAAGATAAAACAACTGCATTAATTTTTTAAAAGCATGAAAAAAGTTTAAAACATGCTTGATTTGAAATAATGATTAAAAGATATTTTTTCCTCAAGTACTATTGCTTACTTTCTCCTGCGATTTGTCTCCTTTGAGAGCTCTTTTACTCTGTCACTTTTAGATTTTACAGATTCCTTGTGCTCTTCCTTAAGCTGATCAAGTCTCTCTTGCTGGATAATCTTGAACTTTTCACTGCACAGATGTCAAGGATGATGTCAGAGTGGAACATTTTAAGAACATTTAATCAACAACTCAGTTATTAAAATCATAATTACAATAAGTAAATATCTTAAATTCACTTTTCCACAAATTAGTTGTAGCAAGAAACCATCAACCTGATGCCTCCACCTGCTACAAACCAGCGTCACAATGCACTCAATTTGAAATCAGACTTTTTCTTAGATTTCTATTACTCATGGAAATTTGAGGTGCTCTTGATGCCACACAATTCATGGAATCACCTCCTTTGCCTTCTGATGAATCTCTAATTAAAGATGACATTGAACAACTTTTCCATGAAGTGGTTAAACTATCTTTGCTTGACACTTCGCGATATTCTGCCATTGTAGTTCACCTACTGGAAATCATCTTCTGCTTTGNGTCTCAACTGGCTCGGTCTTGGGAAGTGAGCACAATGTGATCCTCTGATAAATGCTTTTTGGCGTCGATCCATTGACTGGAAAAGGATTGCTTGTTTATTGTTTGAATACATCCTAACTTTTTAGCTATGCAATCATCACATATAATAGGCATGCACTATAAAGGTGCTTATCACTCTCTTATACTGAAAAACTGGCAGTGCATTTGTTTACACAAAAAATATATTTCCAAACAATCAATAGTGAGGACTGTGATAAAAGTCAGTGAGTGTGTGAAGGCTTTAAGCATAATGACAGTCTCTTCACCTTTTTTTAACCTAAGCCAAATCAATAATAAGATAAAACAACTGCATTAATTTTTTAAAAGCATGAAAAAAGTTTAAAACATGCTTGATTTGAAATAATGATTAAAAGATATTTTTTCCTCAAGTACTATTGCTTACTTTCTCCTGCGATTTGTCTCCTTTGAGAGCTCTTTTACTCTGTCACTTTTAGATTTTACAGATTCCTTGTGCTCTTCCTTAAGCTGATCAAGTCTCTCTTGCTGGATAATCTTGAACTTTTCACTGCACAGATGTCAAGGATGATGTCAGAGTGGAACATTTTAAGAACATTTAATCAACAACTCAGTTATTAAAATCATAATTACAATAAGTAAATATCTTAAATTCACTTTTCCACAAATTAGTTGTAGCAAGAAACCATCAACCTGATGCCTCCACCTGCTACAAACCAGTGTCACAATGCACTCAATTTGAAATCAGACTTTTTCTTAGATTTCTATTACTCATGGAAATTTGAGGTGCTCTTGATGCCACACAATTCATGGAATCACCTCCTTTGCCTTCTGATGAATCTCTAATTAAAGATGACATTGAACAACTTTTCCATGAAGTGGTTAAACTATCTTTGCTTGACACTTCGCGATATTCTGCCATTGTAGTTCACCTACTGGAAATCATCTTCTGCTTTGATTGGCCGATGGATTTTTTGGTATGGGAGACACTCAAACACAAATACATTAAAATTAAAATCTACACAAACACTTTGACCTAGGCTTTAAAGAACCTGGAATTATGGCTCCTTATTGAAGAAAAAATATAATATTGAAAACAGCACCTTTCAATCAACCATCTCCAAAAGTGTAAAGTATTTATAGCTACGGTACATTAATTTGTACAAAATTATTGTTATATAACATTACCTACAAACAACTTAATATAATTTACAAGTACAGTCATGATATACACCAATAACTGAGCTGTTTACTAGAAATATACACCAAATACCATTATAATGAAAGTGAGTAAGGACCAATTATTCCTCATGGCAAACAAACCATGAATAATCCATTTCAATTCAAAGAGGACAGAGGGAAAATTGTTGTTGCTCGAACTATCTAAAAGTCATAACCGTCCATCATTCAGACGCCTAAAATGTGTCGATTCCACAATTGAGGTAAAGCTTCACAAGTTTAGAAGTGAAACTTCCCTAAGGCTTCAAAAAAGAGAAAAGTTAAACTTCATGTATACATATAAATTTATAGTACTAACCAGTAGCTGAGCATTCCTGTGCATTTAGCAAGCAAGTGTGTATTTTTTTTGGTATTTAAATAACAAGGCACTGAATCAAAGTGACAGTAGCCCCATTATGAAAAATAAACAGACATTGATAGCATGTTTTTTGGTGGTGCAAAGCAGAATTATGAATTTACAAAAGTTAACAGTTGCTAATATGGGCAAACCAAAAATAACCAAATTCATTAATATTTGATTCAACTGAACCTCATTTGCATTGACTTCCAATAGGTATTCCTCTTTATAAATTTCAAAAGTCAAGAACTTTGTTGCAATCTTATAAAATGGTCAAAATATATTGCTGCCAAAAAGGTGTGAGACTCGCTAGTTTCAAAATAACACAATTATGTACAATATTCATGAGCACTATTTTTAGAAAATTTAGACACCTCACTATGATCAGTTCCCACCTGCCTTAAACCTTTTCACTCCTAGACCAATTTTACCTAGGGGCCCATGTCATGCGGATATTGCTGTTTCAGATCAATTCTCTTCTGAAGTCATTTATTTGTACCTTTACCCATACACTAAATGCTCTTATGAAGTTATTAAGGATATGTGAAACAAATTTCATCAGACAGCACTAACCATAATGTTTGTTTTGGTGATAAAACGTTGGCCCAATGTTTTCATATTACAATCCATGTCCATCCTTGCCATCAGTAGCAATTAACAGATGGCAGGAAACACTTTCAAAGCCTAAAAGTAACCTTTATAACAAAACTGGACCATTATTTTTGGAATTCAATAAACTGACGCAAAGACAGATTTTAGCTGTTTAAAAGGATAGCAAATAGTGTGACAGAACCAATTTCTATTTTTTTTTAAATTTCCAACACCCTCATCGCTTTCAGTTTTTAATTGAGAAAAAAATAGAAGTCAGATGGAGATCACTTATAATGCTTATATTTTCCATGACAATAAATTCCTCACCATTAGCGAATTTTGTAATACCTTTCACTTAAATTCTTCCACCTTTCTTAAATATTTCGTATTGTGCGGCACCTCCCCACGAGATTGGATTCGTATAATAAAAGGTCCCCACCAATCCCCTACACTGACAACAGAAAGACTCAACACCATACGGTAACCTATTGATAACCTTTTCCTCTAAAATAGCCACTCACCTTTTAATTTCGAAAAAGTTTCAACCTCCAATGGCAGAAAGAAGGATGAGAGAAGTTAACATAGATGACGACACAATTCAAAAACTTTATAAGATACCATTAATAGTTTCACTAAAGACATTAGACTTGCCATCATTCAATGTAAAATTGTAGACCATTATAATTATTTTGCCCACCAATGCAACCTTATTTAGGGACAAAATTAAAGATAAGGATCAATGCCAAAACAAACACTACCTCAGTTATTTGTATTGTGCTGACATGTTAAAAGGTTCTGGTCTAAATTCCCATATTGGTGCAAATACCAAAAAAGATTCATCTACAGTGCTCAATGAAAAAAATATTACCTACAGTTTGCGAACAACTTCCAATTAAGTTTGGCCAGTGAATTTTGAAAAAATTTTGAAATATCACATACAAATCATGCTATTATTTGTTCATACTACTCCCCGCAAAAGGTTGTAATTTTCACCTGTAGGTATTTCAAATTAAGCTGAAATACCAATGCTTTAAGGCAATCAAATTGCAGAAATTTCTCATGTAGTAGTATAAACATAGATATTTGCATGCAACAAATTTTAAAATTATTATTATTGATATTATTATTATTATTATTACTATCACTGGGGTGGAACTGACAGAGAGGTGGAAATCGTACCTACTTCTTCCATCAATCTCTTGCCTGACATGCTGAATATGTGAAAATGTGAGTCGTGTTTTAGCGGTTTACAGTCAAGTCGCCCGAAATATGCTCAGCAACATCATAACATCTTAAATTGTGCTTGTTTTGTTCATCAAATCTTTAATTTTTATATTCCTCATTTAACATGCTTGTTCCGTTTCATCAAGGCTTAAAGAATGAGTTACGCACGTTACATATTCATCTTGCTAGTTTCCTCTCATCATAGCATCACTGCTTAAAGAATGAGACTAATATTATTACACGACTGTCCCACTTGTTTTGTCTCATTATCGCTTAAAGAACGAGATATATTACATACACTCTTTATTACAATTTCGGGCGACATAACTCTGTTTTGGGCAGCATAACTTCCGGTGAGATGACTTTTGGGTAACTTGATGGATACCATGGTAGCAGATGTTGTCATCATTATGGAATCGCGCCTGTAGAAACGTGTCGCTAGCAAATGCAAATTTTTGTCAATCAAATGTCTCCTATTATTTGTAGGTGGAAATTGGTGAAACATCGTTATTGTTTTGGAGACAATGAAAGAACAAAAGATATCAGAAAGATCAAGCTATGCTGTCTTAAAGCATGTTGCGTGACTTTAATCAGTTGTAGCCTTTCTCATAACTTTTCCGCATTAAAACGTTGGAGTGAAAAGTCTGAAGCTTATAAAATCTTGAGAGCCAAAATAAAAAGGGTGCCCAGAAAGGCAAGCACCTGAGAATTCAAAATCAACATTTTTGTCTCCAGAGAAATCCTTTTGAAAGCGTAAATTCGCATGAAAGAACTCAGTTTGCACAAAATAATATAAAATGAAATGAAGCAAATCGAAAAGTGGTAAGAAAAGTCAGGATATTTCAGTTCGATGGAAAGTAAGTGATTGGGTAGGTGATTTGCATAGTGATGAAAACAACTTCTAGCACAGTTCAAAACCGTTCAACTTCATGATTGATTTTCTGTCATCCTATACATTTTGCTGCCCTAAATCGTTAAAATATCTTATGAAGTCAAAATATTCATCAAGTTGAGCATTTGCAGGGGCCCTGCCAGGGTAAATTCCGACAAGCGACATGGCCCAAAAAGTAGCGACAGTGTGTAAAATGAAATCGTGACAAGAGACAACCTCCCTCGGCCAAATTGCGACATTGACAGCTCCTGGCGGAGCCTCTTTGCATTTCCTTACAAAACAGAGAGTAGCATGAA